AGAGAGAGAGAGAGAGAGAGAGAGAGAGAGAGAGAGAGAGAGAGAGAGAGAGAGAGAGAGATAAGCGGAAATCGAGGTGAATCGAACGAACGGGGAACGATTAGGTTCCCGCTTTCACTCAACGAACACAAGGTTGCGCAAGTCACCCCTCCGCTTCGTCCCGCGGATCGCTGCAATCCGTATCCGTAGATTGGCGAGATGACCGCGTCGATGGGGATGGAAGCAGCAGTCCGCAGGAAGCTGACTCGAAGAAGGTGGAGGACGTTTCACCCTCTATTAAACTCCCCCGTACAAGGGAAAGGCGGCCGCTGAGATACGCCGCCAGTAAAACGAGCCTCTTCTCGACTTCGACGTTTCTTTTTCTCTCTCTCTCTTTTTCCTCCTACTCTCCCTGTTCTTTTTTTTTTCTTCTTTACTCTTCTCCGCGACCGCGTACCTCCACTCACCCCTCGCCGTTGCTACCGCAAGAAAGCGGCCATGTCCTCGACGGTGTCCTATCGATTTCGATAGGCCGCCGAGATAGGCGGCCGAACGGTCGCGACCGCATGGCGATTCGCGAGAGGCGAAACGATAAAACGCAGCACGCGCGCGGCTCTCGTCAAGAATCCTATAATCTCTCGTCGCTGAGCGCTCCGAAAAGCGGAAGGCGACGCGATTTCCGACGTCTTGTCGCGTCCTGCTGGAGATATCCATGGGCAACGTCAACGACGAAAAAGTTGACGAACTCATTGAGGCAGAGGGTGGCTGTGTCGGCGCCGATTTCGAAGGACCTATGTGTGTGTGTGTGTGTTGTGAGGCACGACGAGACCCGACAGAAATCGACAGTGGCCCCGACGCTTCGAGATATAATCAAAGTTCGACCCCCTCATTAATATGCGCAATTTCGACTGCCTCCCACACACGGGCCGGCGCGCGCTGTGTTGCGCAATTATCTACATACACGACGGGCCCGCTCGGCATTTACATACTAAGTGTACCGTTGCGTGCCGGGAGAGAATCGCGCGGATGTATCGACGCGATCGCCTCTCGCAATACGTGGAACGCAGATGCGACGACGAACGACGACGACGACGGGGGAGTAAAAATTTCCCGCAACAATAACCGATCCTCTGCGCGTCCTCATACCTCCTCCGTATCGAACAGCGTGCACGTTAGCGAAAAATACGCGTGCTATTGTTTATCCGCAATGCCGTTCGCCACGCCGAGATTTCCATCGTGGTTTTCCTACGAAATGCTGATCGCTCGAGTCGCTGAAATGCGAACCGCTCGAGTCGAAGGCGCGATGGAAATCGAAAAGACAGAAGAGAATTTGTTGAAACAATACCGACGTACTGCAGCTTCGTATTTTGCACTGTCCTTCTATTTAGTCGTGTGGAATTGCGAACGCTTGTACATAGCGAAAGTACTAGTGTCAATAAAATAGGAGCGAGTGGAGGAGGAAACAAAATAGTCCATATTATTAATATAAAAGATTAAAGAAAGATTTTTTGTATATAACATTTTCCTTGTTTTTGGTGTAATATGAATATTCCGCTATACATTTGCACTTTCACTCTGTACAAGCAAATGTAATTCTATAAAACCAAATAGAAAAACAATGTAAAATACGAAAGCTGTTGGTATTCAATATTTCCTTAAGAGAATGCTGAAGTCAATAACGAACTCGAGAAATATCGATAATGCAGATACGATCGTCACTAACACACAATCACGTTATCTTTTTCTTGTACATACAAAACTTACGTAAATGTGTGTTGCTTTATTTTAACATATTCAGCAGAAAACCTAGTCACATATGTATAGAAATCTTGCTGAAAATTTTTCCGATATTCTTAAGCTTTTGAATTGAAGATGCGAAGAAATGTTCTTCAAGATTTTTTTGTTTGGAGCACCCATACTTTCGGCATGTACAAGCTACGGAACTTTAGGATCAGGCAAATATTACGCTAACTGACAGCCTGAGATTTTATATTAAAAATTTTGTGTTCGTTTTCACCACATATTGACCAATACTCTTATTTATTTTGCACGTATTTTCATCGTGTAAAAGCCTTTGTAATTCTGTACAACCAATATAACGTAAACTTTGCAGAAAAATGTTAGTCGGTAAAGATTTCAGCATCCCCTTAACACGTATTCATGTGTATATTTTAAGCTTAAGTAAAAATACTACAATTAAATCAAGTTCAAGTGGCAATCTGTCAACACGTCGATTGCCACTTCGATTTCCATTAATTATTCCAAAGCTCGACTAAAACTCGCGAACGACCGAAGTTACGGTATAAATGTGTACATGCCCCGATGCATGTATTTATTAGCCACTTTCATCGGCTCCCTATCGAGTCCTATATTTGATTCGCTAGCTGCAATTAATTACGCCTTGACGGTGAATTAATGAGACGTAGCGAATAAAAAATAGTGTCGGCCACCGGTGGCCACTGTAGCAGTCGTCAGCGTGTCAACGCGCGAGGAGCTGGGGGAGGGG